TCGACAGTGTAGAAAAATACATTTGTGTATGTAAAAATGGAAAAGTGTTGGTGGTTCGAACTTCAGTTTGAACGTTACTGATTAAATAAATAAAAGAAAAGAAAAAATAATTAAATCGACAAAAGTAAGTAAAACTATTTCTTTAAAATGACATTAAAGTAAATAATATTCATTTTAAAGTTTATCTAACAACTTTTTTTAATGTTTTGTTCACAAAAATGTAAGTGACAGTCAGACAAGAAAAAGCTTGCTCAATATGTTTTTAGCGCGAAATTAAAGTTTTCTGGTTTTAAAAACGCACGAACAATAGGTTGAAAACTTTGATGTAAAAAATATTAATTTTTTCGCCTATTTCAAAATAAAACCAAAAGTTATTTCAGAAATAGACTTATTAGAAGTCATTCAATAACTTTTGGTAAAACTTTAATAAATTAACTAACAATAAAAGAATAAAAAAGCATCTGAAATATGCCTTCATTTTGAACTTTAAACACTGAAATTTCATTTGAATTTTTCAGTGTAATTAACCTTTTAGCCACCACATTGACAGAAAGAATCATGTTTATTTTGGAATTATAAACAAATCTTCTGAATAATGTAGTGGCCAAAAGTACTTGCTTTAGGAAATAAAATTCGCGCGAAATAAAAATATTACGAAATCAATCGCTACAACCCCTAATATTATACAAAACAAAAATNACAACCCCTAATAATTTCGGAATGCACTTATGAATGAAAATTGAAATTAAAGGAAAGGTTAAGAAGAATATTACTCAAGTAGCTAAAGAATGGAAAAAAATATCAAAAAGAAGTTGACAAGTACAAAGAAGAATTGCGTGAAAAAATGGAAACATACATTAAAAAAAACGCGTTAAGAGCAACAACCAATGCTTCGCTTAAATTACATTTTATATAAATTTGATCAATTATAATGAAATCCAGTAACTGGACAATTTTATGTGAGCGAATACTGAAAAGAAATTTTGTAGGTTATTTGATCGCGCGAATATTGAAAATTCCATGTGATAAAATTTTTAAAAGCCGCCATTTTTAGTTGGATTATTTTAGCTTTTCAATCAAGCGTCCAAATAAAAAATTCGCTTTCACCAATGAAATTTAGAAAATTTCTCTTT